AAAAGCAGACGAATGGATAAAGAAGTTGTGGTACACATACACAGTGAAATATGATTCAGCCATAAAAAAGAATGAGATCTTGTCATTGCGACAACATGAATGAACCTAGAGGGTATTATGCTCAGTAAAATAAGTCAAAGAAAGACAGATACGGTACGATTTTACCTGTATGTGGGATCTAAAAAACAAAGCAAAAACGAACCCGTAAATACAGAGAACAAACTGGTGGTTGCCAGAGGGGAGGAGAGTGCGGGGATGGGCAAAACGGGAAGGGGGAGTGGGAGACCCAGGCTTCCAATTTTGGATTGAATAAGATCGGAGACGAAAGCAACAGCATAGAAAATACAGCCAATGGTACTGTTAGGCTAACGTGATAATCACTACACTAGGGAAACACACAAGTCAATGATATTGCAACACTGTTGCCCAGTGACATATGGTAGCTAGACTTGTGGAAAGTTAGCGTAATGTATGGAACTGTTGAATCACTATGTTATACACCTGAAACTCATGCGACATTGTGTGGCTACTTAACTAAAAAAAAAAAAGTTATATTTTAATGAATGGGAAATTGTATGATGTTATGTTAAAAGGGATAATGAATGTATGTAGTATACAGAGCGATTTCAAACATGTAAAAGGAACATACGCGTAGGAAAAAAGAATAAAATTGTATCAACATTTTATCGGTGGTTGTTTCTGGGAATTGAATTCTAGATGATATGTTTCCCACTACATTTCTTTATTTTCCCATTTTTCTACACAGCACATGTATTACGTTTGACAAGGGGAAGGGGGAGAATAGTTTTTCCTCCTTCTTTTTAATCTGTTTTTAACCCAATAGCATTAGTAAAATCCATACTGTTTAGTAGACAAATTCTAGAGAAATGATGAGCTTACCAAACTAGCATTGAAATTGTTGTCTCTGAGACTTTCGTCTACATGGTTCATTTACTAACCTTTACCTATACCTGGATTTATTTTTGTGTTTTTTGTTTTGTTTTGTTTATTAAGTAGCCTCCATGTCAACATGGGACTCGAACTCACAACTCCCAAATCAAGAGCTGCATGCCCTACTAACTGAGCCAGCCAGGCACCCCTATTTGTTTCTTTTTAATTTTTTTTAATGTTTATTTTTGAGAGAGAAGCAGAGTGTGAGTGGGGGAGGGGCAGAGGGAGACAGAGACACAGAATCTGAAGCAGGCTCCAGGCTCTGAGCTGTCAGCACAGAGCTTGATGTGGGGATCGAGCCCACGAACTGCAACACCATGACCTGAGCCAAAGTTGGCCACTTAACCCACTGAGCCACCCGGGGGGCCCCATTTGTTTGTTTGCTTTAATGGATGAACATACTTATACTAAGGGAAGGGTTAAGGTTTATAATATTTACCTCGAAGTAAAGACTCAGTAAACATGCCTTTGTTTTATCATGTTTCACACATTTAATAAAATAAGTTAAATCAGCAACTCAATGTATTCCAAATGTGCCAACTAAAAGTAAATATAATATTCTTCCTTGTTTCCAGGTGCTTAGCAAACTTTGCCAATAGTCTTCCATTGCCTCGGATTAATTTATAGAGGGGAATTAATACCAATAATTAGAATTACAGACTAATATACATTTTTTTTTTTTACACATCTTAAACTGTGAAACAAGCTTGGGCTCTTGTTTTTTCAGGCATCAGGAGAAGGAAGTTTCTTCTCACTGGAAAAATGTATTCATCTTATCCTAGAGCAAAGAAAATAGTGAACAAATAAGCAAGTTTTTACTCTGGGGAAATGCTCTCAATCCCAACCCCCTTTTAATCTAAATTTGATTTCATGTTCCCAACAGCACTTCATTTGGTAGAGCAGAGTGTAAAGGCCACACCTGTGTGATCCAGGTAATTAAAGGACCTGCCGCTCAGTCTTCTGGACCCTCAATTCTCAGAGTACAGTGTCGCGACCAGCATCGTTGGTATCACCTGGGAGCTGGTTAGAAAGGCAGAATCCCAGAGCCCACCCCAGACCTACTGTATCGGAGTCTGAGTTTTAGTAAGACACCCATGTCATCTGTAGGCACATTAAAGCTTCAGAAGTGCTGGGCTGGACAACTTTAGCTGCTGTTGTTATATGCCACACGACAAGAAAGAAACGATACAAAGAAATGAATAAAACTTGTCGGTCTGAGGAAGGTAGCGGATGCTTCACAGTATCAAACAGAAACGTGTTTTAGAAGTACAATTAGATGATCGTGATTCTAAATTTAAATTTTAAGGCGCGTGTATTAAATGTTGGAAGAGTCACAACTACAATGACCCTGTTGTGCATGAGGAAGAGAAAAAGAAGCACAAGTGAATAGGAAAAAGGTGGTGGTGAGGACCCGTTGAGTTATCTAACTGAAGTATACTCTATGGGAGAAGTCCCTGGAAATATCGTAATCCGTGGAAAACCTGTCACTGAAAGCATCAGTTCGAAGCTGTTACACAATACATGCAACTTTGCATGACGAACACCCTAAAATCAATAGGTCCCCTCGCTTTTCCCTCTATTTTGCATTCTATTTAATTTAGCAGTCTCAAGTAGGGAAAACCATATACTTTTGTGGAGGGAGAGACACATGTGAGTTACCAGCAAGATGATTCTGAACATAGAGTAGGCATCCAACATGTACTTCCTGGTTCGTCATTCACTGGTCATTCTCATGACAAAAGGTGACTGAGGACCTACTTTGCCAGGCACCCTGCTAAGCATGTGGTCGTTAGTGGAAGAGACGTGGTTTGTGCTTTCATGGAGTTTCTGATACGTATGCCTTACTGCTGATCAGTTTTTAAAAACTATCTGTGGATTTTGTTCATCTATGATATTTCTGTGCCTCACGTCTACCTTTTTCATTGATGATGAGAAGAGTCTAATTCCTTGTTACCAATCTGGTTCGCATAGAATGATCAGCTGTGATCTGTATAGCAGATAGTAGGATTTCATATGGCAAAACGCAGCTGATAACTTACAGAGATGAACCTAAGATAAATAATCTAAGATATATAGATTATAATAATTATAATCTGAGATTATATAGATATAATAACCTAAGATATTATGATCACTGTTAGTGCTTGACCTGGGCTGTCGATAGAGGCCTAGAGGCTGCTAGGAAGGAAGTGTGGATGAGTAAAAATGAGGGGGAGCAATAAACAAGTCTCTCCTAACTTGTACAGATGAAAATAATGCAATCATGGTCAAAATGAAACACATGTGTTTTTAATGTTATGTCCCCAACTGATGAATTGGGTCATCTATTGGACTTTTATGTCTTCAAGTGAAGGTAATTTGTTCTTCAAACCAGTCTTATAATATGGCATTTAGCAAATCATTCACTTTTTAAAATAAATTGCTTTGTGAGTTTTCTCGGAATGATGAATTTACCCACTATACTTAGAACCTGACAAATTGGGTGGAAAGTTGAAATAAACAGCCCCCGATGGGCAAGAGGCCCAGACGTGAGCTGAATCAACATTACTTCAGGACACTGCTATCTTTGTGGATTTCGAGTGGAGCCGTCTCCCAGGATCCTAACCCCACATCCCCTCAGCCTGTTGAACCCCACCCACACTGGTTCCACCCTCGGGGTCAGTGACTAGGTTCTCTGCCATGATGGCCCAGAGGTTAAGAGCATCATCCCAGAAATCAGACGGACACAGGTTGGTAGTGCTGGCCTCACCACCTCCCAGACACAGGATCTTGAGTAATGTAATGTCGCTGTGCCTCAGTTTTCTCACCTGGAAAATGGAAATTAAAGCTCACATCTTATGTGAACATGTGGATTACATAGCTATATAAAACACTTAACTGTTGTGCCTGGCACATGGCAAATGGTGGCCACTAGTCCTTTATTATTGAACCCATGTCTCCATACTGGTCCTTTTTTGCTACAATGAGTCCCCTTTAGTAACCAGGGTTCTTTCTTTGTTTAGCCTTGTGTCTCTGTCTCTTAGTGACTGCATTTTTCTCCCTACTGAATCAGATCCTAGAGACTGCCTCCCAGGAGACCCTCCTCCTTTGTGCCACTTTTTCTGAGCTCTCACCCCACTCTTAGGTTCAACAGACTCCCCAGCTCTTGGGCACAGTTTGACTCAGAAAGGCTCTAATATCTAGTGGTTAAAGGGCCCTGGAGACTGGCTGTCTGGATTCTGATCTCGGAACCTCTACTCACTAGCTGAGTGGCTCTGGGTAAATTATTCACCCTTTCTGTGCCTCAGTTTCCTAACCTACAAGTGAATCGTACCTGTTTCCTGTGGTGGTTGTAAAAATTCAGGAGATTATTATACATAAGGAGTCTGGAATTATAAGTACAACACAGCATTACCCAAGCTTGGCATTTACCCACTTATCTCTTTTCATCCTAGGGTAACCTCCCATTTGTAGAGCTACTTTTAGGATTTGTAAACCGAATCTCAGGTCCCTAGAATATCTGGACACTGCTTACGCTTCCATGCCAAGACCCCTGCTTTCTCCACATCCTGCCACCAATTTCCTGGCAGACACGGACTATGACAGTGAGGAATGAATAATATTTTGTTTCAACCTTTATGTGTGCCTGTGAGGAACAGTGCGCTGGGCCCAGCCTGGTGGCCTTTCACCTCAACTGGGGTGACACCAAGGGAGCCAAGCAAAGTAGTAGTCTGATTCTTCCTTAATTCCCTCCTCTTCCCTCTCCCCATTTCCACTGGTAAGCAAAGATCATCCGTCTGGAAAAAGGGACAGCCCAAGGTGCCTCCCCAGCGAGGCTGGCCGTGTGCCACAAAGGCCTCCTTAGATAAAAAGGAAAAGGTCAGGAGTACAACTCAGAGGATGAACTTCTATTGTAGCGGTGGGATAATTTGCTTAGCTGAATTGTTACTGTTTGAGTTCCACGCTGAGGTTACACGGCTATGCTAAAGGCAACCGGAGAGAAGCAAACCAAAAGAAGATTGAATTCTGATTGAGAACTTGAAATAAAGCATGCGCCGCTGGTCTGTGAACTAATCGGCGCCCTCAGGGGCTTCAGCAGAAGTCAGGAGTGTCCGGATCTTACTTCCCAGCCCTCCGTGCCTCGAATAGTACTTGGCTTGTGGCAGCATACTGTTTCTGCTCCGCAGTCCTGGCTTCAAGACTCCCACAGGGAGATTCCTTCTAATGCTCCAAATCCCTTCCAGGGCCACTGTCAATATTTTCAAAAGCAAGATGACAATTATTAGCTTCTTTTTAGCGCAAAATGTTTTACAAGTGTTTATGTGGTCATTATTTTTCCAGTCATTTGGGTGGAGCATTATTTTGTGTGATTAATCAAACCACCCAAGGTCTTTAGTATTTGATCTTTTATTCCAGTTTGTTCATTCAGTTATCCCCCAGGCAATTAAACCTCTATAGTGCTATTAATTAGATAATTTAACTGGCCCTAAAGAAATAGATGAAAAGTCAATATAGAAACATACATAACAAAACACAAAGGATCAGTAATAAATTAGTTAATACATAGACTTCATGCAGCCAACCCTATCTGATTCGGATTTATTTCCTAGAAGTGCAAAATATTTCCAAAGATAATATAATTAAAAGCTACCGTATCGTCAACTACATTCAACAATCTTCTAATACATTGCACTCGATGCTATTTAGTCTCCCCTTGAAGGAAACAACCAGCTCACAGCAAAAACACCGTAGCAAAATATTCAGGACGTGACGACTACACATTGATACAAAGCAGACGGCAGTTTTAAGTCCTGACATCCTTCGGTAAGTATTGTTTTAGTTCATTGATTTGCACTGGATCGTCCTCCATATCCTAAAGGCATTTGTTTGGCTCTCGAGAGTCAATCAACAAGCTTTTGGTAAAAATCTACCATCCACGCTAATATTTGATTCCTCCCTAAAGGATTCTGTGCCATGTGGTGATCAGGGGCACGGTGTTTGGGTTCAGGGGGGGATCTGGGTTTCAGCCTTTGCTTCACCACCTAGCAGTTGTATGACTTTGGGCAAGTCATTTAACCCACGATGTCTCAGTTTCCCCAGCTTTGAAATAGGGATGACACTTAGCTTGAAGAATTATTATAGGATTTGGATGAAATAAAGTGCTTTGTATTCAATAAATGGTAGCTATTAGTTTTACAGGGACAATAATCTTCCTATCCAAGCAGGGACTCAGATTCTATTTCCACAGTCAAAATCCATGAGCTGACTCACCAAGCGGGTTGTCAGCGCTTGCCTCTCCCTCCCCACTCCTGAATGGAGTCGCTGAAGCCGGCAAGGTTTGTTTTCCGGCCTCCCTCAAAGACCTTCGGTGAAGATTCCACAGTCTCCTTCTGTCAAGACCTTACAAAGTTTGAGCTGTTCCTTATACCTAACCTAAATCTTTCCGCACTGTTCCACCCAGTTTCCTCCTCTTCTATCCTGTCTAGAGACAGAAAAGAGCTGCTCTCTAGCCTCTGGGTAATATGCTCTCAGATTTAGGAGTTCACAGATATTTATTAGATACCCCCTGTGTACAACAACTGGTAAGACACCAAGGAAATAGGGGCGCCCTGGTGGCTCAGTCTGTTAGGCATGTGACTTTGGCTCAAGTCATGATCTCACAGTTCGTGGATTCGAGCCCTGTGTTGGGCTCTGTGCTGACAGCTCGGAGCCTGGAGCCTGCTTCGGATTGTGTGTCTCCCTCTCTCTCTGCCCCTCCCCCACTCACCCTCTGTCTGTCTCTCTTTCAAAAATAAACAAACATCAAAAAAAACCACTTTTTTTTTAAAGAAACCAAGGGAATAGGTTTAGTTTTGTTCCACATTGTGGGAAGTTCTGGCCAATGAAAAACCATTTGAAATCAGGAGGCAGATGTAGAAAAACCACATTAAATTTGATAGAAAAATCATACTAATCTAATACTAAGTTTTCAAATGCAATCACAGGAATATCTGGAGGTTTACAACTTACTGGGGAATACACCTCAAATGTAAATGCAGATGTTCAGTAATGTGTGACAAAAAAA